GAATGTTTACGTTTCCGGCCTTGGGTTCCCATTGAATATAAGCCAAGTCTCGTAGGGGAGTGCTGTAAATGCAAGATATCGGCTTGTTCCAGAATGATTGACGATGTTCGTTGTGAAGACACGGCTTGTCATCGTGCAGCGGCAACGTCGTTGTCGTCGTCGATGTCGTCGTCGTCCGTTTGCGAGACGATTCAGCTTCCCGACAATGTTATAATACTAGCGGACCCATACATGGAGTGTACAGGTATGCTTAAATTCAACAAGTTCCCAGATCTGTTCACCTTTCCTGGATCACTTCCCTTCGATCATGGTTCGTTAGTAGCGTCTAATGAGGGTTGGGGTGAAGTATTCTCACCGTCCGAAGCAATCGTTTCGATGTTGGAGCAATTCTGTGATCTTTATCGTGTTGGATATGCTCCAAGGCTTTTGATTAGCTATTTAGAAGATTCACTATCCGATGTGCTCAGCAAAAGTCTTAGTCTGGTCGAGATTGTGAGTTAACTTTTTTGCTCGAGTATTTTGTTTCCTTCTTCAGTTTCTGTTCCACATACTAGGGCATAGTTCCGCAGGAGGGGTGGGGGGGGGAGACCAGATGGTATTACAAAGCTTATACAAACTGGAGACCCGTAAACTTCTGTAAGTAAAATGGCTTACTTGTCGACTTGTAAGTTACTGAAACAAAAGTGTTACGTAGTTACTCGTAGTTTCTCGGGGGTTTACAGGTGAATCTACAATCCTTCGTGAATCCCCCTGTAAATTGGCCCGTTGTTGAGTATTATTTTCAGTTCAAATGTAAACATTTAGGTATCGCGTGGCTCACCATCATCGCAAGGACCGCTGTCACCGGAACGCGTTCGTTCCATAGTAGATTGTGATCATTCTGATCTACGGCTAATTCTCAATGTGGCTTCAGTCTATTGGCCATCAGTGTTGGCCTCAGTGGTGTGATGATGGCAGTGGAATTTTGTCAAATGCCGCCCAGATCTCGTTTTAGACCCCCCCCCCCGAAGATGCTCACTGTAGACAAGGTCGCCGATGAATGGTTTAGTCACCTGATCGCCGGCGGATCGCACATACAGCCTTATTCTTCACAAATATGATTGTAAGCCCATTGTTCTAATTAATTTATTATTTGAAGATTTGCCGTACGTGAAGTTCGCTATGATGACCCCCTGTGTGTCATCCCCTGTACATATTTTTTTCATATTTTTTTCGTTCGAGTTTGTTTGTTTTTTCTTTTTTTTTCTTTAAATTGAATTTATCCATTTTATATATACATTCTGTCGTATTAAGAGTTCTATTATAATTTATTATTATTGACAAATCACACCATATGTTCACCGTGAGATTCTTACATCAGCTATTACCATGACCTTCCCTTGGTGTTATTATGTTTTTTTTCTTTGGCGATTAACATTACGGCTTAATCAATATATATGTACTACATATAATATCTATATATGTAGGGCTTGTGTACATAAAAAGAGAATGGAAAATTCTATATCTTTAAGTAGACGCGGATGGGGGGTTTTTCCTCTTCTAATTTTTTTCATTGGTTTCTGTCTTCATTCTCTTCGATTTCCTGAAGAGAATAGAAATACTGACATGAACGGGCTTCTGTGTGCATGTTCACGCTTTTTTTCGGTACTACAGATGAGCTACGAAATTAAGAAACTGTGGAATTAATTATTATATAATTTACAAAAGGTAATTACGGCGATTTGATGGCGTGTATATTTGTTTGAACAGGAACATATTAGTTCAATGCGGGCCATAAATCTAACTAGAATCGAGAATATTTGCAGAACTTTAAGGAGGGAGTTTGCGATGGACAAAGAACGGGCAGAGCTAATACAGTCTTGTTCGCTGCGGATGAGGGGCATGTCAGTGGGGGTGGGTTGGGCGCGTCGCCAGTCCGTTTCATACCGATTGTGGTCGCCTGCAAGTTTCTACAATTGGTGGAGAACGGCCTGGGGCCCCGCCAAACCCGTCCCTCCTGACTCGCCCCATCATTTGCAGCGAACAAGACTATGGTGTTTGTTGCGCGAGCTCGTCTTTCCTTCCATTTCCCTCATCCTTGGGGCCTGTCTATACTTCGCAGCACCCGCAATTTCTTGGACGCGCGACTGTAGGCGACCGTGTCATCGCTAATCGATGGACAGCGAGAACGCTCGAAATATTCTCTCTTGAATGTGGTCGGAACAGTTGTTATACCAGTCCAACGATTAACGATGGGGCGCGCTAGGTAGCAGTCGCGCGTTTCAGGATTTGCTCGAATCGGGAAGTATGCACACGGCCTTAATGGCACATTACGCGTTGGTCAGGGGCTTCTTACGGTAGAGAGGAGACGCGCCAATGATGGATGTCTAGTGTTTGCAAGTCTCCGCCCATTAACCTATAGTGGAATGTGTTTTTAATTCTTCATTTTTTCGGGCAATCAGTGAATGAATAGTAGCGGGGAACCAGCTCAATAATTTAATACATGTTCTGAGTATTCTTGTTGAATATACGGCTGGCATTGTCTATATATACTTATAAATGGATATATTTATATGATATATATAAAATAATAACGTTGTATGTACTATTCATGCTTGATTGCTCGATTGTTGTATGTGTTAAGAAGATGTTATCTGTTGATTTATATGATGATGATGATGTTCTATGAAACACTGCCATGTCTCACCCACAACGTCCGTTCATCATGATACCTGCCATCGCCGGCGTATCGCCTAGTACACTTCATCTATTTTTTTTTGTTCCACAGTTGCTCCCGCGCATACAGATGTATTGGTCGTCTTATTTTTTTTGGCGCGGGTACGCTCTCGAGCGCGCTCGTTCTCCATCCTTGTCTATACAACGGTACGTCGTCGAACATCGTCGTCACATCCGCGCAAAAGATTTCTAATTCTATTCTCACAACGCATATCGTCATTCTTGTCATCTTCTGTGCGATTACGGACATTGTAATTTCTCACGCCTTATATGTGTACTATGCTGATAGCTCTGGTACAAGTTGGTGTACCAGAGCGTCGTCTATTTTAGAGCTGGTCGTGTAATAAGTCCCTTCCTCGCACCCCATCGGTCCCATTATGGTCCCGCAACAACATGTTTGTGTTGATTATTTTGAGAGATATACCATCTATGTACCATTGATTGCTCGTTGAATTATTAAAGAGTTATTAATATATGTTGTTTTGGTTACACAAGGGAGCAAGTGGGAGAAGACTTTTGAAGGAAGCTTTTCGAATGAATGGCACGGCTCGCAGGAAAGAGTAAAGTCACGTTCATAGCTCATGCTTTGTCACTCAAGCGGTCTAGTGGAGCGACTGCGACAGACCGCACTCCGGAGCCAATCGCTGCCTCGAAGCAAACGCGCAGAACCAGGACACATCGTTGTTTGGGGAATCCCCAATAGGGGAGTCGTATTTGGGCTTAAAGAACGTTATTTTGGTAGTTGATTTTTCTCGCTTCACGGACGTTGTATAAGGGGTTGTACTTGCTCATTGTTGGAAGGGGGAGAGGTCTTATTTACTTTCTGGCCTTTCTAGGAGGGGTGGTTGACTTTTCGTGATTTTCCTGCTTCATGCGTTCAATCCCCCTCCCTGTTGTTCGAAAACACCATTTTATTACGCATGTACTGGTCTAACCGAGGATCTATTCAAGGAGCGCTCTCGACAGCAAAATTTTTGGGAAAAGTAGGAAAGTTTTCGGCATATTGGAAGTTTTGGAAAAAGTGCAGGAGCAGGAAGTTGGGAAAAATCTGAGGATTGATAGAAGGGGGGGGGGGGGGCGAGTCGTATGTAATCGCCGGGCTGGCGTTTTCCTTTTCACATGTGCTATTCCCCCCCACCCTATGCCCCCCACCCTATGCCCCCCGCCCCCAGCTCGACGGCTCGATTCGATGAGGAGGGCTGGAGGGGGAGGGGTCGTACGGACTCAACTAAAATCCCCAACCAAGGATGTGCCCTGCTCAGAACTCCTTTAGAAGTATTAACTAGGGGAACGCCGTGTTCATCACCGCGCGCAAAAGGGCGGCAAATAGCGAGTGTCTGATCGTTTCCCGCTGCAAAGGTAGAGCCATTAGCGCTGGAGCGCAGTATGTCGTCGCGTTATGCTAAGAAGGCGAAGCATCACATGAGAATTACTACGTTGGCAGACACTCTAAGATTGAGCTCATATGCATTACCGGCGAGATACTTAAGTCTCAGGTAATCCCATACAGAAAGGGGATACATATAAAGGAGTGGCACGAAATGGAAGAAGCTATGGCCGTGGGCTTTTATATTGTTCGGAATGGAAGCCAGTACATTCACATGGATATCCGTCAAAGATACCAGCATGGCGAGAGAAAACCTCGAAAAACTGAAAAGAAACCTGATTGCTCAGTAACAGTGCTCTATTATCGAATCGCATAGTACAAGGATAGACCGCTTTTCGAATTCATTCCTCGGTTAGACCAGTACATGCGTAAAATTATGTTCTCGAAATGGAATGTATTCGAACTTCCAAGGGAGAAAGTATGGGTAGAGTTGTTTCGGGGAAGAGTCCTGTGTTCATAGTGCATGTTTAACACTTCCCGAACCGCCCTTGTGCCAGAATCTCTGCCTAAATTCCTTACTTTCTGAACCGATAATCAGCAACTTCATCTGTTTCTTTCACTTTCTATGAGATATTTGTATTCTGTGCCTAAAAACGTGTTCTGATAACTTCGGAGCATGAATAAAATGCCAAATAGACTGCGCAGAGAGAAAAAAGTACGACACGTGGGTGTCACGCCTTCCGGAAGTTGTTAAGCATGTGCGGTTCTACCGCATGTGATAATCGGCACCACCTGTCGTACTGTACAACGGGCTATGGAGGATTTATCAGAACCGAACTTACTGCAATCACTATGAGGAAACGACCACAACAGAAGTTTGAGATGGCTACAAGAGTCGAGGAAGCCGAGAGGAAAGGCGAATGATTTGAGGCTATCCCTGGAAGCGGAATGCTCGAAGCAGGAAATCTACTGTGAGCTAATATCCACAGCAGTCCTGAAGTGCCGCAAAGGCAAATGGAAATGCCCGGCGGGCTTGGGAGTCCTTGAAGACAGGTTGAGGTAAACAGAATGAAAAATATTGTAACTTTACCGGTAACGGGCCCTTTTATGGCAGTTCTTCCCGCGCGGTCATATCTACCTGCGATCAAAGAGTGACCATCACCTCAGTTTCATTGGCAAAAAAACCCACCGTTTCCACCGCTCTGATCACTTTGACCCCCTCTGATCAATCCGATCGCACTTTCTCTTGCTCGTGAGCTCCCTAACAGGCGCTCCGCTTCAGGGATCACCTTTCCGAGGATTTGTTCCCCTCCACTCCTCTTCCAGAGAATTGCATAAAATCAAGTGTCGAAAGTCTGATCCCAGACCTCGAGAACAGACCGCTGTAAAACATCTCCGCAAACCCGACGCTCTTGCTGTAATCATTGGGCGCAACCGAAAATTGGGTATAATTAAGAGCTCGATGTCACATGTAATAAGGAAACCTTTTTGTTAGATATACTGACTAGGCTTGGTTTTGTGAGACTGCGACGAACCCATATACACTGCAGATCCCAGCGATAGGGTAGGCGTGGCTTGAACATGGCGTAGGACTCGTTGTTCGTAGGATTCTTCCATTTATTAAAGGTGTTGTCCTCATTTGTAAGGCAGCGTTCAGACTTCGCGAGGGCAGCGTTTCGGTCGCGCGTTCGCCGCGATCAATGCGCATGTTCTCGACTGCATCTCGTGGCGCAGCCCGCCCGTTCAATAAAGTACGCAGCCGCAAACACTTCATCTCTGGGATATGGAGTGTAAGCCACAACTCGCTCCGATGAGGACTAGCAAATGAGATCGCTGGCTTGTTTGTCAGAGGGTAAGAAATGCTAATGGGGAGCTTGAAAACCCAACTAGTGTTCGATTCGAAACCTGCCGGATTTGAGACATGTTGCATTCATTCCTTTGTTGACTGATGGCAGCCATTTACAGATAATTGTGGAAGCTGCTGTTTGGAATAAAGTTGAAGCCACTGCGGTGCTACGGAAGCAGAATGCTCTATCCCCCTTCTTTGATTCAAAGTGACCGAATCAGACTCCTCACTCCCAGTCACTCTTTCTCCTCACTCTAACGTCCAGGCTGGTCCACCATACTTTCGTCTGCGGAGTTCAACCACCGTCTAATGACCCTTCGATCACTCGAACCTCCAAGGAACGTCAACTATCCCTTGGCTACGAGGAGTCCAGACATTCCATTTCGTCCTCCGTGATGAGGAGGCATTGGCAAGAGCGTACGCTAGAAACAATTTAATAATCCAAAGACAAAAATGAGTTTCTTTTCATACTCGCTCATACCGTAGTTGCTCCTGTTGCACGCCAGCATTGCAGTTCCCTCTTTTGCCGGAAAGTTCAGGGCCTTCTTCATCACAAGCGGTGTCACTAAAAATGTGATTGCTCCTGCAAAGCGAAACAACCAGTAGAAAAGTATAAACTGGCTAGAACTTTATGGAAACCCTGCAGATTCTAAAAATTGGTTTTCTGGGAGCAATTTTTCATAAATTGCGTCATCATAACCGCTCTTCATGTGCATGGCATTTTCTTTCGGATTTTTCTCCATTTCAAGTGATTGGTCTTTGATGGGCATTAAAGTGGCTGAACATGGGCACTGGCCATAATTATTCTCATATCTATTACTCATCTACCAATGGCTGGTTGTCGCCTTTTTTCTGTGTATTTCTGCATATTGATTAGCTTAACAGAGGGTTCCAAGCCCACTTGTGATTGTGATACTGTGTATCGCCCTCCAACTGGTGACACCTATAAGATCGATGGACATTCTAAGAGCATCATCGAAATGATTCACGGGCCAGAAATCTCGGGGACTTCGTATGATTCGGCTGACTGCTTGTCCGATATGAGAATCGTCAACTACCTACTGCGGCCGGCTGCTTACAACAAGCACAATCTGCCTTGTGAGTTGCCCTATCGCTCTTTGGTACTGATTCATGAATTTGGCGGATGCTTCCTCTACGGAGGAGTCCTTCTGAGGTATCTCACAGCGGAAAAATTGGAGGCTCAACTCAAAGATATGCTGTACAAACACATTAGTGGACCAACCGCAGTCCCTTCCGCTGTATTGCATAAATTGGTGGGGAGACGGGCAAGAGAATCGTAAGCTGCCGCTCCACCGCGCGCGGCGATGGGCGCGGCGTTTTCTTAACTCGTGTTAACCTGTCGATTGGAGCACCGGACTTCATGTAGACCCCGTCATCGTAGACATTCATGACTATTTTCGGTTCTGAATTGCCTGTTGTCGCCATCTACCTGGAACCATCGTCATTTGCGGGCGCGACGTCGCACGCGACGCCCACCAGCGCGGCGAATTACGATTCTCTTGTCACATACCCGGGTAAATGGGTCCGGAGTAGGGGTGCCATATTCTCTAGTCAAAAGGGCATGGGAACGGTACCAGAGGGCGTCGATACCCGAGAGCCGCCCGCGTATTCCTCCCACGTTGCCCCACGGTCAGCTACACGGGTAACCGTGGCACTGATATATGGCGCTATCTACGCCCTATGACTTCTAGTTGTTCTTTACCGCTGCGTGCGTGCTGTCTTTGGCTTGTCGAAGCTTCTAAGCTTCTCTGGAAGTATGAAACATTTTGTATCACTGTAATTTCTTTTATGTGGCTTTGCAGACAAACGAGGCGTGACGGTGAAGGTGGAATTCTGGATCCAAGAGATCACAGCGATCTCAGAGATCACGAACGATTTCGAGATGGAGATGTACATCAATGAAATGTGGACTGATCCAAAACTCAAATTTGATCATCTGAATGCCTGCAAGGCAAACATTTCTTTGGACCATGCTACTCTGATTAGGTTAGAAACTTATTAACGTCGGAAGCTGAACGTTTCGTCATCTATAAACAAACAGTTATACATTTTTTAGGGTTTGGACTCCAAATACTTGCTTTGTGAATTCGAAAACTGCTGAAATCCACGATTCGCCATTTTCCAACGTGTTCATGACGCTGTTCGAAAACGGAACGGTTTGGGTGAATTATGTAGGTTCAACGGACAAACAGTTCTTCAAGAATTCTATACTCTAGCAGTACAGAATAATATGTTTAGCAGGCTTTAGCCAGAATCCTAAGTCCCACTATCCGGAAACTCGTCCAAACGATCTCTGTGCTTTGGGGTGGCTTTCACAGTTCATAATAATGGCGCGAGTCAAGCGATAGCGTCGCTTAGGGGGTTCAAGTGTTTTTGCGATTCTGTAATTAGGAGTGGAGTACATTCGTCATTTCTCTTGTTTGAACATTCCCCTGCTA